GCCCCGCCGCGTCTCGGGCCGCGGAGATGTCGGCCAAGGCCGACGTCGGCTTCGTGAAGGAGGCTTCTCGGCAGATCGTGGCCGGTGGTTCCGCTGGTAAGGCTGCCCGCCCGCGGGCTAGTCGCTTTTTATCTGTGCTTGTTTGTCAGACGAGTCTCCCCAAAAGTTTTGCCTTCTTCCTCCAAATTCCGCGCTGCCGCCGCGGAGCCCGAGCCGGCGGAGCGAGGGAGCAAAGGAGGCCGGGAGCGGGCGGCGGGTGCCCTGGGGTCAGGTCGCCGAGGCGCTCGCGTCGGCCGCTCGGCTCTCGGGTTCCCCGCCTTGTCGGTTCCTAGCCTGAAAAGCAAGGTAGGCAGCCCCAAGGCCTGCAACTTGGAGGAGGCCTTTTTGCCTGGCTGGCTATTTTACTCGAACCGATCCAGTTTCTGTCAGACTTAGTTTTGCTCTCAATTGTAGCCTCTTTCTAGTGAGCTAATAAAGATCTTGCATAACTCCTGCCTCCCCCATTAAAATGTGTACCTCAGGATTCCACAGGTCTCATTGCATACTGTGCTTGCTTGGGGCTGTTCATGCCTTAAATAGGCTTATTAAAATTAAATGCATATGTTAACACATATAAACACATTTGATAGAATGAGCTCACATTAATTTATGGAGAGTTATGCTGTGTGAAAAAAAATTTAGAGAAAAATCTGTAATACTAATCATGGAAATAATTACTAAAAGTGGCTAGAGAAAGTTACCCATGAGATTATGTTATGTAAACGTACGTTAAAGATATTTTAAAATATAAATTAGGAGTTGATTGAAAATTTATCTTATGTACTGTGATGCATTTTTATTATAAATATAAAATAATTACTATAATTCACTCATCACCATAAAACATTTATATAAATGTAGATATTCTTTTAATAAAGTATGGTAACTCTAATAAATCATATTAAGGCAATGAACTTTCACTAATAAAATTTATTTTCAAGTAAATTTGGACTTTTTATAAGGGACCACTACAAATTACGGCCAGTTTTTATTATGTCATGAACGACTTGCATCTCAGGGGTACCATGAGCAGCCAGATGTATCACTTACAATCTGTACATTTTCATAAAGATGATATTTCATTAATATGGCAATCAAGGCATGAGTTTATTATGTGTAATTGTGCTATGTCTATCCATTGTTATGATGTCAGTGGCTCCACATCTACTTTTTTAGTTGTTTTCCTGTAGTGATGATGAATTTACACCAATTTATTCAACATTTTGGTCAAATTCCACAATATTCAAGACTCTACCAGCTGTCGCTGACTCACTTGGTTCAGAGTCCATGACCCTGATCAAAGAAAACTCAGTTGGCCCAATAGGAAAGTGAAGTTAATTGTTGAACATCCTAAATTATGACTAATTATTCACAATCATCTGTATATTGGCTTAGATGATCATACTATGTATTAGACACAGCTAACCTCAGGGGATGTTAAATGTAGGTCAAACTCTAATCCTACTTAAATTGTTTTTTGGATGATAAATATATGGCACACATATAACATATGATTCCACCATGTTCTTACAATTATAACTAATATGAATGAAAATTAGTACATTTATTAGATAAATGAAACATAGCACAGTTGATTTATACATTTAGTACTGTTTAATTATTGATAAATGATGAGAGTGATTTTACACTTTGATCACAGTGAAAAAGAATAATGTTTTCTTCTACTTGGCCAGTTACATTTTTATGAAATTTTATATTTATTGGACTTTAATAAGTGCAGGCTAATTATATTATACAGGCTAGGTCAAGGGCCAAAAAGAAATTAATATACAAGGAGTTAGAATTTTAATAAATACAGAAAATGGCATGTGAATCTTTAGCACCGGAGTGCTGATCACTGATACTGTCATCATATGTAACTCCTCTGTGTATGTATGTGTGTATTATGTGATCTTTTGATGGTAAAAGATAAAAATACTTCCTGGATTTCTTAAGGGGAAAGAAAAAGTAGCTGGGGAGGTTTATTAGAGAAATACCAGGGTATCTCATGGAATTCGGGGTCTGGGATGCATTCCTGGAACAGGTTGGAATCAGGAGCTGTAGCACTGAGGGGAACTCGTAAAGTGCACTCTTGCCATCTCTTCTTTTTTCTCCTTGTCAAATGGTTAAGCATTCCCAAGGCAGCAAGGTGGTGGCTAATAATAGGGCCACAAGTAATATTACTACAACTTGTTAGGATGGCTTGCTATACTTCCATAGATTTTTCTGGTGAGGAGTAAGCATGGCCAAATGGATTCAGACAGTTAACTACTTACACAGACAGCAAAAGCAAGTCATTCTGGTGTCATTTTCCTGTGTCCTTTGTTCCACAGATAGCACCAAAGCAAACCGACCAGATGATAGACGGTCTGAGCACTAGGTCCCTCAGAGCCACAGCCAACCACTTTTATAGACTTACGCTGAAGTCTGTAGCTTTAACCTAAGAGGGAGTGAGGTGGAAATTCTTGTGCTCAACTGAAACTAGGGAGATGGAGGAGAAATGGCCTTGTGGCAGCCTTCCACAAGATAATGGGAGAAACAGTCTATCAGCAGCTCCTCAGCAGTCTGCTAATCTTCCCTTAGGCTAGAAGAAATCACAGGACATTCTGCCAAGACTCAGGCCAGACTGTGGTTAAGCCTTGCCTACATGACCTGTGTGGAGATGTGCAAGGCTGTCCAGGTGCCATGCTGTGGAGCTGTTTCCCTGTGCTCTCCCGGTCTTTTTATCAGTCTTCTTCCTTAGGTTGTCTGCTCGTCAATCGACATGACTGAAGATCTTCCCCAGTAGCTCCTGAGTTTATATGCTCTTGATCTCTGTTCTGTAGAGAAAGAGACTGACTTGCTTTTTTTTCAGTTCTAGTGTAAAACCTTAAGGGAAGACTCAGAATAACCCAGTATTGGTCAGGGGCCCACCTCTGCACCAATCAGCTACAGCCAGTGCCCATGTGGATGGTGGGGGCGGGGGTTGGATGGGGATCTCAAGGGAGATTATTTTCCAGAGAAGCTACATACATCATGAGATGGGCAGTAAGTGTCTTTTATAATGATATAAGCCTATCTTTTCTTAAAAGATGGTTCATAATATTTGTATTTAAAAGACCAAAGAGATTGATATACTGACAGTTGCTTGGACAATCACATCTAAAGACTAGCCTTGAGTTTGTAGCTAGCTATTATATGTAGATATTGTTACCAATGGCAACTTTGTTTTATATATATATATATATATACACACACACACACACGTATGAAGTCAATAATGTATATGTATATATAATATATATGTGTGTGTGTGTATATATATATATATATATTATTGACTTCAGAGAGAGGGATGGAGATAGAGAGATAGAAACATCAATGATGAGAGAGACTCATCAATTGGCTGCCTCTAGCATGCCCCCCACTAGGGGATCGAGCTTGCAACTCGGGAATGTCCCCTGACCGGGAATCTAATGGTGATTTCCTCGTTAATGGGTCGATGCTCAACCACTGAGCAACACCAGCTGCGTCCAATGGCAACTTTGTTTTGCATGATAAAAGGCGTGCACAAGATAGGTCAATAGGTACTGGAGTTTTGCAGCCTTCTCGTCTGCATTCTCAGCTTCAAGTAGTAGCATCAGATTCAGGTGAGAGAATAGAAGCCAGAGATGAGAGCTTCAGGAAGATCCCCAAGGCTAACACTATAGAGGGGTTAAGGATGGAAATGAGAAGAGGCCATTGGATTAGGCTCTTGGTGCTCAGTGTGGTCCCGAGATAAGCAGCAGGGGCATGGTAGCACCTGGAAGCTTGTTAGAAATGTAGAGTCTCAGGCCTCACTCCAGACCTACCGTAGGAGAATCTGCATTTTAGGAAGGTCCCCAAGACATTGGTTTGTACTTCCAGGTTTTAGAAGCACTGCACTAGAAGACCTTTGAGAAAAGAGAGTCCACAGAGTGGGAGCCAGATTGCAGAGGGTTTCATGTTAAATTTTTTGGTATTGTTGCTGACCAGAGAGAGAAGAATGAATTCTTATTCGTGCCTTATGGGTCCTCAGTTTGGCTTTCAGGTTTATTTTCTACCCCTCTCCTACACATTCCATTTGGTTTCTGCTAAAGAGATCTGCTAACCATACTTGAATGTTGCCTGTACCTTTCCACCTTTATTTCCAATGCCTGGAATGTCTTCCCCTTGTTTTCTCTACCTATTGAAATCCTATCCATTTTCCAAGGCTTAGCTTGAAAACTATTTTCTGCATAAATGTTTCCCAGATGGCCTCTACAGTCCCATCCAGCTTTAACATTCTCATTAACATGTGAATGGTGCAAATAATAAAAGTGACTAACATTTATTGAGTCAATACTAAATGCCAGGCCCAGTTCTAAGCTTTACATGTATTAGCATTTTTAATCCTTACCACAGCTCCAGGATGAAGAAATGAAGAAACTGATGCGCAGAGGGCCTAATTAACTTGTCTGTGGTTGCACAAGCTTGCAGCCATTTCTATGGAAAATCACGATAGGAGAGGGACTGGGGGAATATTATTCCTATTGACAGACATTTTTAGAAGTTGGCGAGATCAAGTCAAGTATGCTATCCCTTATTATCTCTGTATCTCTTATTAATTTACATCCCTTAGGAGAACTTTTATCTACAAATACAATCCTTATAGTCTTTCTGCTAAATAGTATCTTGCTCTTTCCAAATAGTTTCTTGTGTGTGGACACAAATTAGCTTTTAGCCCAAAGAAAATACTCTATCCAGGGCCTCTAAGTGCAGTTGAGCAAATGGTTGCCTGCAAAAGGACTCTGTCCACTGGAGCAAGTGGGAACTGAAATCTAGCCCATGCTCTGATTCATCATCTGTGTATATCAGAGCAGAGATGCGTCCACCTAGGGGAGAAGGGACACCTTTCTCTATTTCTCACAAAGACCTCAAATGGATTGGCAGCAAACCTGACAGCACCACTGACTGAATTTCCCCAAACTTGCTAGAGCTCCCAGAGTCCCTGGGCCTCGACATCCCCTAAATTCAACATCATTACACTGTCTGTTCATCAGCAGGGCTCCAGATCATTT